AGTGTCCGTGTGTGCGGGGGGGAGGGAGGGAGGGAGGGAGGGAGAGGGAGGGAGAGGAGAGGGAGAGGGAGAGGGAGGGAGGGGGAGAGGGAGAGAGAGAGGGAGAGGGAGAGAGAGAGAGAGAGAGAGAGAGAGAGAGTGTGTGTGTGTGTGTATGTGTATGTGTACGTGTATGTATGTGTGTGTGTGTGCGTACAGTCCCCGTGTATGCGAGTGTGCGAATGTGTGCGCGCTTGCAGTTGACAGCAAAAGTGCAGCTGTCTGGGCCCGGAGTGCAAACGTGGTTTCTGCGCCGTAAAAATGCCAGAGGAATTTTCGTTGGTCACTCGTTTCACACTGCCTGCTCCCCCCCCCCAGGGCGGCCGGGGGGGGGGGGACTGGCCATGGGGGCGAATGTGTGGATAGACAAAGAGATAAAAAAAGAGAGGAGAGGGAAAGATAGAATGAGAAAGGAAGGGGGGAGAAAGTGAGTGAGTGAGTGATGAGTGAATGAGTGAGAGAAAGAAAGAGAGAGAGAGAAAAGAGAGAGAGAGAGAGAGAGAGAGAGAGAGAGAGAGAGAGAGAGAGAGAAGAGAGAGAGAGAGAGAGAGAGAGAGAGAGAGAGAGAGAGAGAGAGAGAGGAGAGAGAGAGAGAGAGACGAAAAAACAGCAAAAAAGACAAAAAAGAAACCACGAAAAGCGAAAGCAAAGAACAACAATAACCAGAAGATAAAAACAAAGAAAATGATAGAGAGAGAGACTACCCCCTCCCTTCCCCTTCCCCCTCCCCCCCTACCATCTATCTTGTTCCATCACCAATCAATTTTCCTGAAACGACGTCACGGGTCGCCACCACAGAGCCTCTGCTTCAAAAAAAAAAAAAAAAAAAAAAAAAACATACAAGTTAAGGTGATGTTTTTTTATTTATGATGGGAAAGCATTTCTGCGTTTACATATCCTTCGAAGTAAAAATTAAAAGAAAATATATAGACGGCGTTGTGTGTGGTGTGTGTGCGTGCGTGCGTGCGTTGCACACCCATACATCTACACACTTTTACACTTGTACCCATCCAACCCACCATCCAGTACCAATACCCTACAAACCCACACCACCCACATACCCCTAAATAAACCCAAACAAAACCCCACATAAACAAACAAACCAAATGCCTTAATCAGATCTCCAGCGTGGCGCCCTTTCACTCGGTTGACGCCGGCGCCAGGAACCCATCACCAGCGGAAGCAAACACGAGTTCTTCCTCTTGTGTATTTTTTCCTCTTCTTTCTTTCCAGCCCTGTCGTGACATCGGGTATCCGGCGGCCGTCGTTGCCTCCTTCCTTCCTTCCTTTCTTTCCCTCCTTCCTTTCTTTTCTTTCTCTCCCTTTCTCTCGTTTTCTCTTTTCTTTCCTTCTCTTCTATCGCTCTTTCCTTCCTTCTCCCTCTCTCTCCTTCTACTTTTTCCTCCCATTTCTCTTCCCTCTTCCTCCCCTTCTTCTTCTTCTCGCTTTCCCCTCTCCTTTCACCTTCCTTTCTATCCACATCTCGTCCATTCCTTCCCCTTACCCTCCCACCCACACACCCTCCCAACCCCCCCTACCCTATGCCCCCCACCCCTCTCCCTGCATGCAACACGGCAGGATATGTCGTCTTACCTTGCAACTTGTTTCCAGGGTGTTGTTGCGAGTGGTCTGTCATCGGTGGGGTACGGGTGCTCGTCTTTGTGTGTTTACATCTTGTGTGGAGGGGGGGAGTGGGGGATTGTAGGGGCGTGAGAGGGTAGCCTTGATGTGATTTGAAAGGTAGTTGAGAGAAGAGAATTAATCTGGCTGATGTGGAAGGTGTGGGTTTGGATGTGTAGTTGAAGGACAACGGATGAAGGGGTAGTGGTGGACTGGTAGAAGAGGGTAGAGTGGTGAAGGAATTTGGCAAAAGGGATGAGGCGAGGTGGATAGTGGGTAAGTGGAGTGGATGTCTTGGAACGCTAATCTGGATGAGGGGAGGGAGAGGAGAGAGAGAGGAGAGGAGAGGAGAGAGAGAGGAGAGGAGACGTGAGAGGAATAGGAGAGGAGAGGAGAAGTGATGAGCGAGGAGGAGAGGGGAGGGGTGAGGGGTGGAGGGTAAGTGGGGGTGGAAAATACGGATGAGATGGGTGTATGGGCGGGGTGGAGGTTGGAAAAGTGGATTGGGAATGGATGAGTGGAAGCAAGGTGGAGGAGGTACAGAAGAATGTTTAAGGAGGGATGAATACGGTGGATTGGCATGGTGCGAGGTGTAAAAGCAATGGAGAAAGTGGTACGGTGGAGAATGGGAGGGAAAGAACGGAGGAGAAATGGAGGAAGAGGGTGGAGTGCAGTCAGGGAGAACGGGAGGATTAGAGGTGAGAGGAAGGTGTGTGAGTACACGATTGAGATGAGAGGGAGAGGAAAAAAGAGAAGAGAGTACGAGAGAGAGAAGGAGAGAAGAAGGAGGGAGCGGAGAGGAGAGGGAGGAGAGGAAGAAGGTGGAGCGGAGTAAAACCATGATGAAGGAGAGAAGAAGAACTGACGGGAAGAGGAGGGGAGGGAAGTAAGAGAAAACTGTGAGTTGTGTAGTGTGGAGAGGTGTGAAAAATAGGTGCGTGACGTGCAGAATGTGCATGAGTACGAGTGAGTAATATAAATATAAATATCATATGTACCTTATATATGCTTTAATACGTAAAACGCATCCGCGAGTTATGAATGCGAAACCAAACAAACACACAAACACAACAAACAAACCCAAACGGCACAAACATAAAAACAAACAAACAAACGCACAAACAAAACAATCAAACGAACATACAAACAAACAAAACACAAACGCACAAGCAAAAAAAAACAAACAAACAAACGCACAAACAAAACAACGAACCCAAAACAAACGCACAAACAAACAACGAAACCCAAAACAAACAACGAACCCAAACAAACGCACAAACAAACAACGAACCCAAACGCACAAAAACCCAAACAAACAAATCAAACCAGAAACAAACACACAAAACAAACCCCACCACCCTCAAACCCCACCAATAAAAAGGGAGACGCGGATCCGGTCCCCCACAGCCAGCTCCGGCGCGAGAGAACGAGTCTACGGAGGCGTAGGCAACCCAAGGAGCGACGCGAGGGACAAAGTTAATTTTATTTCAGTCAACAAAAAAAGAAAAAAAGAAAGAAAGAAAGAAAGAGAAAGTAGTTTTTTTTTTTTATATAATCTTCAAGAAGTCCCGAGTTGATTTCATGACACAGTTCACCTCCTTAAGCACACAGACATGCACGAATACATACATACGTTCATATATATACAGACATTGAACAACACATTATATACACAATTACATCATACACATATATACACAAATGCATACATGCTCACACCATATATACACAGAACACTACTAAAAAAATAAAAGAAAAAACAACACACACAAACAAAAGAAAAGAAAACACAAACACACACAAACAAAAGAAAACACACACACACACACACACACAAATATACAAAATAAAAAAAAAGTTAAGTAAAAAAACAAAACACCGACATTCACACAAAGACAAAACCTTCCGTACAAGCTTGCAAACAAACACACGTCGTGGATCGTATTAAGACTTCAATATGAATTGCAAAAATAAAAATGAAACTTTTGAGATTATGTTTCGAAGGTAAATATCAGCTTACTCCCCCTCCCCCCTTCCCCCCCCTCTCTCTCCTCCCTTCCCCCCTCTCTCCCTCTCCTTCTCCCTTTACCCCTCCACCTCCTCCTATCCTTCTCCCCCTCCCGGTCTCCCTTCCCTACCCTCTCTTTCTCCCTCCGCCTCTCCTTCCCCTCTCCCTCCCCTTCCACCCTCCCCCCTCCCCCTCTCCTCTACCCCACACCCTCTCCCTCATTCCTCCCCACCCACCCCCTCCACACCTTCCAGGCGACCGCGAAGGAAAGTGAAGTATCCTCGAAAGACGTTAAATAAAAAAAAGAAGAGAAGAAAAAAAAAGAATAAGAAGTGGAAAAAGAAGACGAACAAGTTGCAGAAGCCGAAGAGAAGAGAAGTGAACTGAAGTCATGAAGTCGCCCTCGAGACATGTTTCTTATAAGGAAAGGGAGTTTTGAGTGCGAGGGAATTCGGATAAGAAGTGATATTACACAGGTAATTGTCATGTACACCGTTTACGATACAATAAAATATAAAAAATACTCAATAAAAGAATAATATATAAATAATACATAAAATATAATAATAATTAATAATAATAATAAATAATAAAGATACATAATAATAAAACTTATGAAATATGATAGAATACATATGTTAATATGAATAATAAATAAAATATACATAAATAATAATAATAATAATTATATTATCATTATTATAATAATGATGAAATAAAAAGACAAAATGATAGAATAAATATGATCACACATAAAATGAAATCGTACATTAAAATAAAACGATAAAAAATAATACTTCACTTACAAATACAACACGACTTAACAAACAAAACAAACAAAAATTATACAAAACTAAAAAATCACAAAAAAAATAAAAACTAAATATGTATAAAAAATACAACACATAATAAAAACCTAAAAAATAAAATAGCCTAAAAAAGGTCACCATCGCAGCACAAGCGTGAGAAATACCTTCCCTTCCCTACAAAACAAACAAAACAAACAAAAAATAAAAACAAATATACAAAAATACATTCCAAGAGAGAAAAAAAAACAAAATTCGTCTCCCTTTGTTAAGAAATAACCCCCCCCCCCCCGTTCCCTAACAAGAACAACAAAATACCCAAGAAACAAAAAAATGATACAAAAATAAATAGAATAAATAAAAAAACATATAATAAAAAATTCCAAAATAGCCTAAATTTCCTCTTCCCTCCCTCTAGCAAGAGATAACAAAGCCATGAATCATTCCACATATCACCACAAAAGAATATCGACACTCACCAAAAAAACACATACTGATTATCTAATATACAAAAAAACCTCACAGACCCAATGTCTAGAGCCCTGATCTAAGAAATGCCGGCTCCAGCCACCTGCAGGCATAACGAGACGGACAGTGAGGATCAATGGAGGAATAAGGATTCCCTGTCCCGCCCCTAGCATCAGAACTTACGTAGACACAGTCCTTTTCTGTCAACCGAGCACCACCTATGCTAACTGAGACGCGAGTATTAATCGAGACCTACTCTGCACTCTCTCCGTTTTTGTTTTTGTTTATTTGCTTGTTTTCTTTGTTTGATTATCGTGTGCTGTGTATATCTTGTTTTTTTAGTCCTACATATTTTTCGATTATTTTTTAATTTATCTCCCTCTCACTACCTTTCATTCTTCCACCTTTTTCCTTTTCTTCCAATCATATATTATATTATCTCTCCATTAACATCTCTACCCAACACTTTATTTTTCCCTTTTCCATTCTTCCACGAAATCTTTCCGTCTCTCTCCCCGTTTCTCCCTCCCCCACCCCTGCCTTTCTCCCTCTCCACGCCTCACACACCCTTTCTCCCTGTCTCGCGGAGGCGCGTGCGTGTCGACCGCAACCACCCCTACCCTCTCTCCCTTCTCTCATCTCCCTCCTCCCATTCTCCATCTCTCCTCTCCCTTCTTCCTCTCTTCTCCCTCCCAACACCCCTCTTTCTCCCCTCCTTTCTCCTAACCAGCCTCCCCTTACCCTCGCTCTCTCCCATTCTCCATTCTGCTCCTCTCCGTGTCCTCTTCCCTGCCGTTTCTCGCCCCCCCCTCTCCATTTCTCCACCTTGGCTACATTCACTTTCCGTTCCTCCTCCTACCTTGTCGCATCCTTCCATCATTACACCCGTCCACTCTTCTGGCTTTCGCCCTGTGAACCCGCGTCCGCTTACGCCTGCGTAAACATTTCCGAATATTGGTATCGGTGAGTGAACTGAGCACTTCGATCTATCCGACGTCTCCGACGAGTAATAGGATGACCGAGAGGAGGAGCGAAGGAATGAAAAGAACGTGAGACAGAAAGGTTTATGCGCCTCGCCCGGAAGTCGTATGCTACACGAATATGTGCGCTTATGCCTCCATAGTAACGGTCCAATTGAATGATAAGCCCAGCATTTTGTACTCATACTAGATGAAGGAACAACCGATGTTAGACAGAGAATATAATAAATGATGTAATTTAGAGGTCATAGATTGTTGTTTTTTTTTATTTTGAGTCTTATACGTCTTTGACAACTGTCGTATGGTGACTCATAAATAATGGAGTAAGACATTAACCAAATGGGATCACTTTGTCTTTCCTCTTCTCATATCTGTCTTCTTCTTCTTGTTTTCGTTTGCCTTTCATTTTGTTTTTCTTATCTCTTCTCTCGCTCTTCTCGTCATCTTATTCTGTCTCATCGTTCGTCTCTCTCTCTCTCATTGCTCTTCTTCTCTCTCATCTCTCTCCTCTCTCTCTCATCCTCTTCTCTCTCTCTCTCTCTCTGCTCTCTCTCTCTCTCATTTTCCTTACCTTCCTCCTCCTAACGTTACCATTAAATACTCCATGGATTGTAAATATTCCCGCCACTAATTCTCCCCATTATCATATCTTCTCCGCCACTCACCCTTTTTCCCACTCTCACTCAAGAACTCAATACAACCATCATCGACACTGCTCAACACCAACTAATATCCTTTTCCCACTCCCAACCCTCAACACTACTCCCCACAAACTCCCAACTGCAGCCTATGCCCCTCACAAACTCCATCCCTACCTTACCTGCCCCTAACTCGTCTCCACATTGACTCCCCTTACACCACTCCCTCCCCACTACCCCACACACATACCTACTCCCAACTTGCTTCCCAAACCCATCCTACCTGCCACACAATAAACTCTGCAACCGGAACCCACCGCTCCCTAACCCCCTACTCCCCACTCTCCCCCACTCCAACTCCATCCACTCGCACTCCTCACATACCCCCCAACCCTCCCATAATCACCCAACCCCTTCCCCACTCTTCACCAACCCTCCTCCCGCCATACAAAGCCCCGTCCTCTCCCCACTCCAACATCTCGCCTAATGACTTCCCAACCCCCACCCCATGCCTCCCACGCCTCCCAACACAACCCCCTCCCCTGCGCCACTCCCCCACTCCAACTCCCACCCTCCGTCGCCACTACCCCACTCCAACTCCGGCACCCTCCCGTCAACAATCATGGACCACCTCCGGCCCACGACTGCTATCAAGTGTCATCACATCAAAGCCACACGACCACCATAGATCCGACGACCCCGACCGCATCTCGAGCGCTGCCTGTCACCGCATAAACCAGACACTTCCGGACAGCAGGGAGAGCCATGAGAAAAAAAGGGAGAATAAGGGGGAATGAGGGGTAAAAAGTTTTTTAAAAATGGGGGAGGAAGGGATGAGAGAAGAAAAGGGAAGAGGAGAAGGAAAGAGAAGAAGGAAAGAAGAAAGCCAGGAGAAAAAAGGGAGAATAACAGGGAATAATAGTTTTTTTTTTTCTTTTTTTTTTGATGGAGGTGATAAGAAAAAAATAAGAAAATGGAAGAGAAAGCTAAAGTGCTATCTAACTTCATAAATATGTCAAAAGAAGGTAATTATAATAATAATAATAATAATAATG